ACTTGTCAAGGTATACATTTGACATTGTTGGTTACCTACAATGCGAAGAGATGGCGCTGCCTTGCAGCTTAAGATGAGATAGAGAAAATTCGACACGGCCGTCAGGGCCGTGGTAGCATAATGGTCAGTGCATTCACCCGGATAGCGAAGGGAGCGGGTTCGAGTCTCGTCTGCTGCCTGGTCCGCGTGGAATTTTTCTAGTAAAATTTTCTTTAGATTTCAGCGTAAATTGGTTACTAACCAAATAAAGGTCATCGTACATATTAGCAATAATTTACTACGTTAAGATTGGAAGATTGAAGAAGATTTGGAAGGCTTGATTAGTGCTTGCTATGCTACGTTGCTACGGTCCTTCGTAGCGTGAAGTCTACACTTTCGTAGCTACCAACTTAAGAACTAATAACTTTGCTTATCTTGAATTAATGATATTTCTTCTCTATTCTTATCAAAAATTTATTAATTGTCTAATTAAGAATGACATTACAAACAGACGTTTCTGTTTTATGAAGTATGTCTTTATTTGTAACCGTGGAATTCATCAAAATCTGTGGTTTAAGTGTGAAAAAGTTGCAGACAAAAAATCTGACTACCATATTTATTATATGTATTACTAGTATACGTTTATTAATTAAAATTTTCATATCCATTACTTACATAAGATTTCTATCTCCAGCCACAAAAGTACTTCGTATACAGCACTCCAACTTCGCATATACACGATAATACACTGCGAGAGTTGTATATGCATACACACAAATTGTTAGGCGTACAATTCAAGTCACAATGGCCCGAGACGTACAATGGATTCTCGCATGGCTGCGATTCACTAAAGAACTTTGTAGACGAGTGTGCATTCTCCAAAGAAATTCATATTAATTAGCTACCAGAGATTTATTCAAAGAGACTGCTAACGCCCGCTTACGAATGGTGAAAAGAATCTAACTTTTGTGCTCGTAGCTTCTCTGTCACTGTATTGATGACTGTAAGCGTGTACTTATGAGGTTTTATTATGAATCACACTCAAATCATCAATATTATAAAGGCGAAAGTTTGCGAGTGTGTTTGTTTGTTACTTCTTCACGTCTAAACGGCTGGAACGATTTTAATAAAATTTAGTATAGAGTTAGCTGACACCCTGGATTAACACATAGGCTCCGTTTTACTGCGGGAAAATACCCCTAATAAACCGCGGATAACACCGCGGGGCACAGCTAGTATTTAATTACATTACGCAATTAACGGGTTTGCTACCATGTACCAGTTATTAAACATGTATCAATTTACTCCGTAATCATGGCACTTGCATGCATCAGTGCCGAAATATTAGAGACTCGCAGAAATCAAGGGACGTACATCAATCCATGAAAGTTTTTAAACAGTTAATTTGAATAAATTTTAAAGAAGAAAGATTTTATTGTTTCTTTGTGTTGAGTAGGTCCGAAACTAGTGGACCGATTTGAAAAATTATTTCACATTAAGACTTGTATTACAGATGGTACAGTTAGAAAGGGATGTCGCTATGTGCTAAACATAGCGACATCTCTTTCTTACTGTACTCAAGTAAAGATCAACACTTAGTTCTCATTCTGTAATACGAGCCTTAGAATCCGTCGATAGTGTAACCCAATCTGTGAAAAAAATACCAAAACGCTGCGGAAGTCATTGACAATAGAGCAAAGTAATGTACTTAAATTTTATAGAGGACATCAATATCTACAAAGAAATCCGCGATACTATATGTCATAACTATAACAGTTATGTCAGTACTAAAGGTCCCCTGCGGTTTCACCCGCGTTAAATTGAGGAAAAAGGTTACAGTGAGTCAAACTTACAAGATGGACAAATGCTGTCGAGGATTTTTTAATAGAACTTTTAAAGGAAAACAATTCCATGATACATGATTTTTGTGTAACTTAAACCGTTTATCCAGCGTACGCAACGGAATCTCACAAATGGAATATTTTTATCATGGCATTTTATTGCAACATTTTTCATGTATACTCCTACTGGTCCTAGCGTTATGTTATACAGCTTATAGCCTTCCTTGATAAATGCACTATCCAACTGAAATTAGTTTTTTTTTTTCAAACTGGGCCAGTAATTTCTAAAATTCTAATCTAAAGAAAAATCTAAATCAAATATTCGATATTAGTAAGTATATCTAACTACTTCAGCGTGTTAAAATATGCAATCGTAACGCCGGTATATACTAGGCACATTTCAATAGAATACTTCATTGAAAAAAACCACAACGCAGTACAGAAACGAGGGAAATTACAATTGGAAAAAGAGTGCTACATAAAACGCAACAAAATTTTCACTATCAGTTAAATAAATTTTCACAGAAGATTTGTAATTACCTACATAAAGAAAGTCATTGTGTAATAATACAAGCCGGAGAACAAAAACCACAGCTACAGTGTTGATATAAAGTTACTCTCGTAAATGGAAATAAATCCTTTCCTTTGGATTACATAAAAGAATATTTTTATAAGCGAATTCCAGCAAATTTCCTACTACACTCCACCTAATGTTATGTGTAAGTCAAATCCAGTAGCATAAATATTTTGATTACCTGATGTTTTAATATGATAATCTCTTTACATGTATGAATGCTACAGTATAATAATAATAATATAGCCTCTTTATTTCCATAATGAACAAGTCATAAATATCATAGAATTATCATAAATACAAGCATGAAATAATAAAATATTACAACAATTAATACTATAAATTAGATTACAATTAGCATTTTAAAATTTCATTTCATACAATTGTCAAATAATAATAAAATTCAAATTTTAAATGATAATAATTGAATGTCAAAGTAGTTAATAATTGAATGTCATTATGGAACCCTCAACGAGTAAAGGCCTCCTCAATTTTGCTCCATGTCTGTCTGTCCTTTGCTTTTGTAGTCCAATTTTCACCAGCCTTTCTTATTACTTCATTAACCCTACAGAATACTACAGTGTCATAGCCATAATCAGTGCATGAACTTAGATAACTATTAAACTTTCACATTCTATACCACATTTTGATGTGTTTTATCTTTTCTCTCGCTTTCTTGTAATTTGTGGGAGTGATTTCGTTAAATGGGACGGAAGTGTGTAACAGGAAGTCGGAGAAACGCTCGCTATTTGATTTGATTTAAGAAAATGATATAATTCTTATTTTGCTATTGTTTCTTTTTAAATTAGGTTTTATTTATTTTTTACTTTGATAATATGTCAAATGTTACGCATCATATGCGAATTACTGTACAGTAAGGTTATTTTGGATTTTTCGTAATTGATAGCTAGCTTATTTTTTATGAAGTTTATGTTCTTTAACAGTTTGAGTTGGTTTCCAAGCTCAAATATCTTTGCCCTAGCGCGGTACTCTTCGTGAATGATTCAACTTTAAATAGGCTGTTTTTTATAGCTCATGTTTAAATGTTTTTGAGCACCAAAAATAACAGCCAACCTAACCTAACCTTTAGGTTTGCAATTGTATTGTTTGCTAATACTTTTCTATTCAAACAAATCAATTCAAAATTAATTTATCCAAGTTAGGCTTTTAACAGCACAAGTGAAAGTCGAAAGCCACGGCAATGGTGCCCATAGACTTTATTTGACACTAACTGTACCCCGCGGTTTATTAAGGATATATTCCTGCAGTAAAGCGTAGCCTATGTGTTAATCCAGGATGTCAGCTCACTCCATACCAAATTTTATTCAAAACGCTCCAGCCGTTTAGACGTGAAGATGTAACAAACATACACACTAACATACCTACAAACTTTCGCCTTTATAATATGAGTTATGAGAAATCTGTTTTAAATACATGCAAGCTTGAGCCATATCCACTGATTTTATTCATTTGTTTTGCGAGCGGCTATTCTTTCCTCTTGAAGCTTATCTCGGGGTTCTACCTCACTGCCCTCTCCCTTCCCCCATCCCCTCGGCTTTCCTTTCAATTAAGTTATTAACGTAACGACCTAGTCCGGTTCCGACTCTTTATACAAAATGCTAATTCTATCTTCTGCCGTTCGCCGATTGGGAATCGACTTGGCACATTTTTAATTTGCAACGAGAAAAATGAGGATTACCCACCCACTGTTAATTTGAACTTTTTGATAGAAATGGGTGCTTCCGGTTCTCATTCATATTTAATTTATAGGTTTTCAATTGGGATCGCAGCATTGGGTATTTAAATAGGTGTTGAGAGATCAATTTAAAATAAGGTACTTGTATTCTTTTTGAGAGTATTCTTTTTAAATGAGTCACAATGATCTAAACAGGCATTTAGCAGCACCTACATATTTTGTTGAATGAAAAATGATTACGTTAAAAAATATCTAGTGTATTGTCCATTTCGACCCGGTTCCTCGAAATTCGCGTCTTTTATTTGTTTGACCTTTTGTTTGTTTTTTGCAAGGGTTTGAGATGATGTCACCATTGATATTGCATCCGCCCGGATTACAGATGATGCGGGATCGAATCCCGTCTGCTGCCTGGTCCTAGAATTTTTTCGTAGAATTTTTTCTAGTAAAATTTTCTTTAAAATTAAGGGTTATTCTTCTCATTGACCTACTTAACTCTCCAAAAATAAACCATTTTCAAGTGTGTTGCGGGATTACTCATTAACTAGAATGTTCTAAATGGGTGCTTCAAATCACGTCATTTCAAGAACCCATTTATAAATTCCCAATTCCCAAAAAAGAAAAACTTAGAAAAGCTTCTAATAATTTTGTGTACTTGTTTAGGAAAATCTTTGTGTATTTTTGTAAGCTTATTTCTAAGATTTCGAAGGATATTATGTAGATACAAGAAAATAGTTTTTTTTTGTATTATTTCTGGCTTTGCTAAAAAATCCTCATACTATTGAGTAATGCTACTCATCTCATTGGATAGCATTGGTGGTCCTTGACATACTCTCAACTAAATTCGTTAGTGGTCGCTGGTGGGTGATAGCTCCGAACAAAATGCCTATTTCCTTTTCATTTATTGTTACAGCGTCAGAAGCGCCGCTGGGCGTAGGTGGGATGGTGGGGGCAGCGGGGGCGGGCGCAGGCGCGATATGCGCGTTGCTAGCGGGTGCGTGCGCGTTGTCACTGCGCCGGCGCCGACGACCGCCCCCGCACAAACCACCGGCGCCCGCGCCCGCGCCCCCGCCGCCGGACCTCGACGACGCAGAGCCTGACCTCATACCCAACAACTACTGTGAGTGCCTACCATTATAATGCTGTTAGCGGGCGCGTGCGCGTTGTCGCTGCGCCGGCGCCGCCGTCCGCCCCCGCACAAGCCACCGGCGCCCGCGCCCGCGCCGTCGAACCTCGACAACGCCGAGCCTGACCTCATACCAAACAACTACTGTGAGTGCCTACCATTTTAAAGCTGCTACCTGCGCCCCCACCGCCGGACCTCGACGACGCCGAGCCTGACCTCATACCCAACAACTACTGTGAGTGCCTACTACTATAACGCTGCTAGCGGGCGAGTGCGCGTTGTCACTGCGCCGGCGCTGCCGTCCACCCCTGCACAAGCCACCGGCGCCAGCGCCTGCGCCCCCGCCGCCGGACCTCGACGACGTCGAGCCTGACCTCATACCCAAAAACTACTGTGAGTACCATATTGCACTGCTAGCGGGCGTGTGCGCATTGTCACTTCGCCGGCACTGCCGTAAGCCCCAGTACAAGGCATTACGAATGTCGCTTAGTAAATTATCTGTCTATAGCACCAACCAACTTTGAGGTTGACACAATTGGTGCAGCGAAGTGAGTTGGCACAATGACGCGGTTCAGTGTTATTTACATACTAGTGGCCCGCCCTCGCTGTGCTTCGGTGTAGAGCTATAGTGTAAACTATAGTTTTTGTTCTCAGGCTTGTGCTATAAACAATGACTTTATTTATATAATTACACGTGTTATTGTGAGTCAACCATAAAAGATAGACATAATTGACAATTTTATGTAGAATATTTCCGTCATACATGATTTCTATGTAATTTTAACCATTAAGGCTGCACACGCGACGGAAGCTTAAAAAATGGAGTAACTTCTCCCGTTTTCCCAACATTTCCCTTCACTACTCTGCTGCTATTGATTGTAGCGTGATGAAAAGTATACTATAACCTGCCCAGGAGTATGAAGAATAATTGTACCAAGTCTCGTTAACATCCGCCGAGTAGTTTTTGTTTCTATAAGGAACATACACACAGACAGACAGACAGACAGACAGACAAAAATTTTACTGATTGCATTTTTGGCATCAGTATCGACCACTAATCACCTCCTGATAGTTATTTTGAAAATATATTTCATGTACAGAATTGACCTCTCTACAGATTTATTATAAGTATAGATATAGCGTATATATGTAGAAGTTCTTCAAATAAGTGCTAGATCAGATGAGATTTATAAAAAGCGGCAAAAGCATAAATTTACTGGTCAAAGCTCGAGCGTAAATATTTTTATGAATTTAGAGTGAATATAACTTTATTGACATATTAGACTTTAATTTTGTTAGCAACAGACCCTTTACTTTACTAAATAAGTATCAAACAAACCAATTCCCTTTTCTGAATCGTAAAAATGGCTGCGTACAGCCGCGGCTTTACCGCAAAGCCAGTAATGAAAGAACAGCGTATTCGCGCGCTTGTACCATTCGCCGTAAGCTAAGGCTCCGCGCATAATAAGGTTTTAAGCATTAATAAGCTGCGGCGACAGACAACGCGAGCGCCACACGCATGCGAAATGCGACGCCCTAATGTGCCCACCGCTTTATATTCAACGAACGAATTACTTATTTAAAATGGTTTCCCTGTAGGCGCAGGACTGGTAAAATAATTTGGATTTTCTTTTATCTGAAGAGAATGCCGATACACTCATGGCCAACGTGATGGTAAGTAACCGCTGTAACCTATGGCTATAGCAATACAAAAATATCACTCGCCGTTATACCCGGACCGTTAGGCTATTTGTCCACCGCGGCGCGGCCGTCACCGGGACGTCAAGGAGAATAAGAATACGGTGGCGAGGTATTCACAAGACACATACATTTGCTATAGCCGCTTGTCCACCGCAAACCCGCCACGTCATCTTGATCTTATTATAAAAAAACTGTATGCGTCTCGGGACGCGCACATAAACAGAAGTGATAACTTTTTTTTTATAGCTAGGTAGGCAAATGACTCTACCTCACCTGATGTTAAGTGGTGATAAAGACCAAACGCGAAGATAGCTGGTACAGCATTTATAAACTGTTACACCAACCATCCTCACCTTGCCGGCCTGCAAAAATGCTTCTTCACGCCTCTCTTATAGGACACCAGATTATAAGAATAGACACATGCGCGGGTAACGAATTCCACTTACGAATAGTACGACAAAGAAATGTGTCACACAATTTCTTTGTTCGTGTAGGAATAGTGGCCACAGTAAGTCGGTGGCAACGTAGAAACGTTAAAACAACGTTAACGTAACTTAACTTAAACTTATCTATGTGGCGCTGCGGCTTAGAGTAAGAGAGGAGGAGCCTGCCTACCGCTGCCGTATGCGTAAGAGGGAAGCCAGACACACTGGCCCCGTAACGCGTTACGTAACGGAGCGGTAAGCGTAGCGCATGCTTTGCAAAATAAATATATATAAAATAATGCCGTAGGATACAATACTATGTAACTAAAGTGTACACAGTCTAAGCAGTAAGTTGTTAAACTAAATGAGCACAAGAGATTGGTAGATAAACAGGGGATTGGAGGGTGCAAAGGGGTTTGAGGGTGAAAAAGGGAGATTGGAGGGTGAAAGAGATTCGAGGGTGATAAGGGGATTGCTGGGTGATAATAAAGGTTTGGTGGGTGATAATAAAGGATTGCCGGTGAGTGGGTATTGATGGATGAGGGAGTGGGGTGGGTCTTGGGACACCCCTCTGGTGCACTGGGCGGGGTGTGGCATCTATCTCCTTTCGCAGCGAAGGTAAGCCAGACAGACTGACCCCGTAACGCGTTACGTAACCAAACAGTTTACCCTCCTATAAGAAGCTATCACTTCAAAAATAATCTCCGTACTCCGGTGACGAAGGCGGTGGACAAACTGCCTTACTCTGAGACAGAATCACAGCACCAAAATAAAGGTGTGTTATTTTGCTGTGCTCTAAAGTGTTTTATATATTTATGTTCCCGAGTCTTAGCTGTTTATATTTTAGTTATTTAGTATCCATAGTACAAACTCTGTTTAGTTTGAGTCTTATATACCAGATATTTGTTAAAATTCATTAATTTTAAATAAATTCACAAAATACAACACAAACTTAAACACAGTGTTAAATAAGTTTCGGAAGCATTGACATCTTTCATTATACAGAGTAGACCCCAGACTTTAATAAAGCAAGTGAACTGCCTTCATTGTACAAATCAAACCCTATTTCGATACAAATGTCGACTCACGAGTGAAACAAAATCAATCCGTTTCATTTATATGCAATGTATTTACTTTGGCAGTGAAATCCTATGTCCATGGGTAATACGCTCAGCTTTACAAATACTTTCCAGTTTGAATAAAAAACGAATTCGTATTCTATAAAGGTTTTATATAAAACTTTGTTACGGCAAATTTGTTGTTTACAAGCTTTCATTATAGAAACATAAAAAAACGTAAAATTGTTCTTTACCAAACATCGTGTCAACATCGATTTATAGGTACTGTTTTGTAGGCAACTATTTTGCTTAACTCTCTTGTTATTTAACAACAATATAATTTTACACTGAAATAATTAACATTTACACATTTAGTACAAACAATATTATAATGTACCACTGAGGTAACAGACACATACTTGGAGCACACCGAGCTTTTCATTTACAACTTCAAAAATCTCAGAACATCGAGCATGGTTTGGAAACTATTTCCATAAAAGCTTAATGTAGAAACGGGCTTGGTAAGGAACGCAACAAGAATTCCGATAAAGAGTCCGCTGGGCCACACCGCGCATCGCGTCGCCACCGTTGGCGGCCCGCAACTAGGGCTGCCAGTGAGACCTTACCAATTAATGAAATACATAGGTACATCAATGAACCCTTTCCTATCAACAATAATACCTACATACTCGTACACACATGTCTTTTAAAGTTTTCAGAGCATGAATCAATTGAAAGTTGAGAAGCTCGAACGCATTCGATCTTAACCTACTGAACTGAACTTATACAACTTTCGCGATGACCAGTGATTAGGTGGATGATCAAAAACAAACTACCTCGAGTTCCTCCATGCTTTAGCAGGCATGTTAAGCAGCTTGAACTGTGCATCTGCAGTCGTTGGCATCCACCAATTTGTACTCGGTCCGCGTGGTAAATCATAGTCCAATCTAGAGAGATTAGATTTATACCTACTCCAACTAATAAAAAGCCTACACCCCAACAATGGGGATATCAAAAGGCTGGTGGTGATGATTATAAACAAAGCAAAATTTTTCTTATCAACTAAGTCACTCAAACATAGTTTTACGGGCGACGCGCGGGCTGCGCTGAGGGCACCGGACCCGGGGCGGAAAGCGCGGAAGGCGCGAGATCAGTAGACCGTAAGTCTTCTTTAAAAACCTATAAAAGTCCGGTCGGGATTGCTGAAGGTTCAGCAACTCCGACCTATCCTCCTCATTCATGACCGCAGGTGCCATGACCGAGCATTTTTTTGAGTGTGTATGCTGTTGGTCACAGGGACCTTTACAGAGGTATTCTAGAGGTATTCCAGGCGGATGGCATCTCCCCACGAGGGGGGGGGGGTCTCCTCTCTGTCTGGAGCCTCTAGATCACTCGAACCTGAGGGGTCGGCTAAACTACAGACCCTTTCTGAGATTTGAACCGCGGCTCTAGTTAGCCGTTGTCGTGGGGGGCGGGGACAAAACGCCCAGGTACGTACCCGTACCTGGTATAGCCTGTCGCGTGTAGACCGGGTCTTCGCACTCTTATCCTACGGGTGCGGTGATTGCCTAATGCTAAGCTAGTGTGCAAGTATGCTAGCTGTGTAGTGTTGATGTTTATGGCCTGTGTGGGAGGAGTCAGAGGCGCGTTGGCGTGGGTGATTTCGTCGTTGGGTTACTCTAAGACATGCCTGGGCCGGCGGAATCGGAGGGATGACTGAGCGTGTGTGGGGGCGACAGCCCTCCCTGCCGTGAGTGACAGGGAGGCATGTGTCTCCTATTCTAAGTCCCGCGACTAAGTGATTGCCGCG